TTCAGTCAGCAGGAGCATTTCAAACAACACAACATCTGCCCCTTGCTGCTGAAACAGTTGTTACCCTTTTCCTGCAGGTGCAATACAGCATTTTAGCTTGTTTCTAACTTCCATAAAAGATACACTTAGGGGTCAAATTTGAATATGCTTGCCTACCAAAACACTTCTGATCTTGCCAGCATTAGTTGCTCCCTAAACAGCACTCCAATTACACATGGATATTTCCGCTCCTTTGCCCCTTCAGATATTTAATTTAGTTTGTCTAGCTAGAATAAAAAGCATCTATAAAAACAAACTCCCCAAAAACAAAACAACCTGGTTCACACCAGAAAAAAAAACACCTTACCTTCAATATGTCAGGTTCTTTGATATCCAGCGATTCTGTATTCCATTGCTTGCTCAGATTTCTAGGTAAATTGTGATATTCCCAAGTAGTGGGTGTAAAAAGCCATATCACACAGAAAGCCATCATAAATCCAAGGGCAACCCCCAGAAATAGTCCACTGAAATAACTAGGGAGAGGGAGTATAAGGTAAGCATAGACTAACATTGTAAAGAAGTACAAAGTCTTCACTGGTATTTTAGGCTGCTGCACATAAAGGTTAAGGTCATCTTCCCTACTGAGCACAGTACCATTTTCCTCAGTCATCTCTGGCTGCAGCACAGCATCTGTAGGTTTATCCCCTTTATTTTCTTCCTCTATCAAGAGAAAGTCTTCAGAATAAAGTTCACAAAACTCCTCATCCTCTTTGCTTGCCAGTGCAGACAAAGAACATTTTTCAAGTACAAGCAAAGTTTTCAACCCAACATCCTTTGTGCATATAGACTGAGAGCTCTGACTCTCAGTATCTTTTGCCTGTTCCTCAGCAATTTTGGCCTGGTCGCTCTTATTTAGACGAGGTTCACTACCATAGAAGTCCCCTTCAGAATCACATTCTTCTTCCTTAATGCTGTAGTTGTTATTGCTTTCCAAGTGGCCGTTCAAACTGGAAAGATTTGATAGTTCTGAAGCACTTGAAGATAAGGCTTTGGGCCTGTGGCTACTACTTTCATCACCTATTATTTTGCTGAGGAGCTGAAAAGGCTCATAAATGACTTCTGAAAGGCGCCTTTTAGTGTCTTCAATTTTAGCCTCCATTTCAGGGACCTTAAAAAAAGAGCGAGTATCCAAAGGAGACGTTAACGGGGAGGAGGGGGCAGTTTTGGAATCGCCACCTGTAACAACTCGAGGCTGAGTGAACTGCTTGAACAGGTGCAAGTTCAGTTTAGAGTCAGGTGGTCTGTAGGACACAGCTTCAGCTTCTTGTCTAGAAGTGTCCGTTGACAGAGACTTCACTAAGGTTTTCATTAAGTGCCTGTGTCTTGTGGGTGGGGTGGGCTCTTTTGGTTCTACATCTGTTGAAAGGGACCTAACTAAACTCATAAAAGGCTTTGAGCTAGAAGTGGAGGATGATGTACTAGTCAAGACAGTTGCCTTGAATGGGGAGGATGACGGGGAGGAGGAGCTGGCTTTCTGCTCAGAAGGGGATGACACACCTGATGAACTAGCTACGTAACAGGAGTGCAAGGAGGGAGACAGAACTAATGGCACTGCATTGAATACTTGGGAAGTGGAAGGAGAATCCAACAGCTTTACAGTGTTTACAGTTGGCATAACAGCAGGTGATGGAGACAGTAGGGATGCAGAGTTGACCGGGCTAGGTGGGGTAGCTGGACTAGAACTGTCATGGCTGCCATGTTCAAAGCAGAGGTCTTCCTTGGCTTCAAGTGCTGTCACAATGCTTTGGTCATCCAGTTCCTCATCCGGCGTCTGCTTAAACTCCTCTTCCTCCTCCTCTTCCTCCTTCCCAAATGCCGAGAAGTGAATGGTGATGGTTTCTCGGGAAACAGATCTCTGAACCTGCACTTTTGGGGCAGACTGCTTTGAAGACATTTCACCAGTTTTCTCTGCATGGCTACTGTTCAGACTTGTCATTGCAGATTCCAGATATGCTTCAAAGTCTGTGGAGAAAACATTGAACCAAATGAAATGCAATTTCTCCCCAGCCACACACTTGTTTTCAAATATTTAAAAGACAAAGAAAACCTGTTTACATGCAGCAAGTATATCAGCTAAAGAGCATAAAATACTCAACACTTCTGATCACAATAGTTTTATGTGAATTTCAGCAATAAAATAAGGCATGAACCATTGCTCTAAAAGTTACCGTACATATCCTTACACAATTAGTATATTTAATATTTTTAGTACTATTTTCCCCTGAGTTTGTTTTATTCTCACCCCATGTTCATAATATTATCAGATGCAAGGGTAAAAGATGGCTAAGTCACAGTGGGAAGGACAAAGGAAGAGAATGAGAATGGGGGCACAAGAGGACAAATGGAAAAGAAATGGGAAATAGAGGGGAAGAAAGTCCTGCCAAACTGTCTTGGAGCAGCTTCAAAATGTTGCTAAATTTTTCTTTGGGTAGGGATTTCTTAGGGCGATATCTTAATTGGACCAACTATGTAGCTGTGATCAGTCAGACAAGCTTTTGAATGCAAGATATTCTTTGTCAGGTCTCGGATCACAGCATTCACATAGTCCAGAGGTGTAAAAGATGCAAGGAATTAGAAATGCAGGTTATTAGCTGCATTTGTATTGTAGCCAAGTCAGTGTCTGCTTTCGCACAGAAAAGCAAGTGCTGCCAACCAGAGGATCAGAGTTTTAGCATTGGTAAAATTGCCTTAAAAGTTTCTATAAATTTTTCCCTTCCAACATGACACCTTTTATAGTCCAGTAAATTCAGGTTCAAGTGAAGCAACATTGAAACTGCTTTTTCTTAAGTGCCATATCCATCGATGCTATTTTTAACAAAAAGAGCAGCAGGCTTTAAACAAAGCCCCCATACTGTATGCTGGGGTGGGCAAAATGCAGCCCGCTGGCCAGATGCAGCCTGCCAGGTCATTCTATCCGGCCTGCGCGGCCCCTAAAAAAAATTTAGAAAATTAATATTTATCTGCCCCTGACTGCCTGTCATCCGGCCCTCAATGGCTTGCCAAAACTCAGTAAGTGGCCCTCCACCCAAAATAATTGCCTGTCCCTGCTCTATGCAGAGATGAAAAATCATGTGGAAGCCATGAATTTCAGAAGTTGTAGACCAGTAAGTAAGATAACTACTATTGCATCAATATGTACTTGCCCAGGTGATTTACTTGACATCAAAGAAGGAAATACAAGCTTAGTTAGGGACTATTTGCCTCAGAGAGAATTTTTTTTCCACACCTTCAGACAGTTTGGTTCTAGACAATTACACTGCTAGAATTATTAGCTTAGATGACCTTTGTTTATTCAATGCAACTAGAAATGCTTTCAACTCAAAAAGCAGCTTGGTACAGATTTACCCACTAACAATCTGAATCTCAAGCCAAACTAGCTTTCAAGCTGTTCCTACTGAGGAGGATGATTTCAGGTCTATCAGTAGCTTCATCACTTCAGATGCACTTAACTGCCTAGAAGGCTTTTGTTCGTCTCGTGCATTTCCCAAGTAAAAGGTCCAAAGCTAAAAATGGAAATGAATAAATAAATAAATAAAAACACAGCAAAGAGGGAGGGGGAGGGGAAGGGGGAATGCCCAGTAGTAAGAGCACAGGACTATGAGTCAGGAGCACTAGGATCTGCCAGAGATGGATGTTAAGAAACATCCTTTATATTTATGGCTCTGTTTCACAATCTATAAAATGGGGATCATGCCACTTGTATCAGAGAGCTGTTAAGGCTCAGATTAACAATGTTTGTACACTTCTTGAGATTC